CCACACAACGCTAAAGTAATCTAATGTGAAAATAACAAGTAAATTCACCAAATTTTAGTCTAGCCTTATAAAGTTCTCACCTATACTTCTCGTGTTCATATATGTTAATGTAATCAACAATTTCAACTGTGAGTAGTACCTTCGGTCTTAACATAAGTACACTTAGCAGTGGAAAGTATAGCTATACTGTAAAAATAGTAACACACTGACAGCGCAGAATTACTCGTCCCGATATCTCTGTTTAGAATGTTATTCCAGCGTATTAACTGTGTAATTTAGAATACACTTTTACTCAGTAGTTAAACAACGGATGGATACTTGTTTGTATAATGTCTTTTAACTAAACTCGCAAGTGCAAATGAGGAAGTTGCCCAGTGTGGCGGAGCGTAGCGGGAAACAAAACAAAGCACCATAACCTACGAAAAGGAATGCTTTATATCGCGGATTAAGTTCTTTTCTCGAAGTGCTATGTGAATGCATAGGTGTATATAAAGGCTGCACATTGATTGAAACCTTGTCAAATACTGCTTTCTGGATGTATAGCGTAGTTTTCTTTTGATGCTTTCTGCTTTGTTTTGGTTCCCCGCTACGCTCCGCCACACTGGGCAACTTCCTCATTGGAACTTTAGTATGTGACAACATAAAAAGTGCAGTCTGACTGCAGACTAACTGTTTACAAAAGCCCAATACTGCAGTCGTGAACAAACTACAGAAATTACCGACTTTTTTCTACAGTTTAAATGGAGTTTGATGTCTTCAGATTCAACACTACAGTTTAAACTATAGTCTAAGTGAAGATCCTTCCACCCGGGCGAAACCCAAGGTACCCCGTAGGTTAAGTAAACGGCCTATTTCCGTATAGGCGACCGTGATTATTTTTGGCTGAGCGTTAGCGAAGCCTTTGCTGTCATGAGGGGTGCAGGGAACTCTTTGGTTGTGCACTGTTAAAAATTTGGTTGTAATTTTACGACATTTTGGGGGTTAAGTTTGTTAGCGACAGGTGTTGTAATTTAACGACATTCTCGTAACGACTTTTTTGTAAAATAATGACTTAATTGTTAATTAACAACAAAAATGACTATGTTACTCTGGCCGAGGGTGCCTGATCTTGAGTCGTAATTTTACGACTTTGGTTGTTACAGAACAGCAT